CCTCTTCCCTTTTCCACTCCCCCTCCCTTCCTCCCCCTCCTCTTCCTTCTCCTCTTCCTCCTCCTCCTCCTTTCTCTCTATAATTCTAATTACTTTTATAAAGAGATGGCGCTGCCTTTAAATTTTTCGTACAGCTCTCCTAGTAAGCCTGAAATGTATGCAGTTTTTCTAGATACCTGTTCAGTTACTATCTAATATTAGTATTCTCATTAATTGTGCCAATACTGAGTAGGAAATGGGACAAGAACTTGATAGAATTTTATTCTGTCCATTTCACGAGCTGTTGGCTTACTTATTAATCAATTTAATATCCATTATTTGTTGTGTTTCTATTCAGTAAATGGATTCAGATTTTACGCAACTTTTGTATGCAGGAACTGCAAACAAAGTGTTACATTCTGATTGGGAGCCTAAGTAGTTTTTCTTCTCAATTACCAGACAGAAGTTGATGTAACTGTTTAGTAACTGCTAAAAAAATACATGAAATTTCTACCAGGAAATGTCTGTATATTAATATCTTTTTTAAATTGTTTAGGCTTAATTGTTTAATTTTATGTAATAATAATATATATGTATATGTATGTACACGATATTCTCACAATTTGAATTTATACAAAAAAAGCTAAATCAGAAGTTTAGATGCAATATAATAAAAATTACTAAAGTGTCTTTAGTAATTTTTATTATATTGCATCTAAACTTCTGATTTTTTTATTTTAGTAAAAAAAAGGAAACAAGCATTAATAAAATGTGTCGCATATGAATTGTATATCCCGTAGTAGAATTTTTTTTACATAAGAACATACAATAACATTCCTGTAACAAAAGTAACAAGTTAAAATTTTTGGAATTTTGCATTATTTGCGGAATGTGTTCTAAATATATCGACTTTCAATAAGAAAAAGTGATATAATTTGAATTCAAATATGAAATAAAAAAGAATTGAAGACGGGAAAAATGACACAAAATAAATAAGGAAAGGTTTTAGAGGTCTAACATAACATCATAATAAAATTAATATTAATATCTATGTTACTTTTTGAAACAAATAATTTAATTGTGATTAGCTATAGTTAATTTATATTTAATAAGTAAAAATAATTAATTTCAAAATACACAATTTTTTCCTTTTTCCTGAATAATTTTATATTTTTTACTTATGTTATTTTTCTTACGTAGATACAATATATAAATATATATAACTATTTAATTATTCATAAAATACATATATATAAGTTTTTTTATTATATTTCTGTTTGCGTATAAAAAGCTAATAATAGAAAGAAATAAAAAAAAATTAAAAGCATATTTTCGCATTGTTTATTATAAAAAACAAGAATTTAAGGAAATGAGAAAAAATGTTTATATACAGGGTGGTCCACTTAAATTGAACATCTTGAATATCTCGCTTATTGTTAATGATATAAAAAAATGTTTCTCAAACGAAAGTGGAAGGATTTCAAGGGGGATGACGTATTTTGGTCATGTTGGTTTTTTTTCTAGATGGAGGCGCCAAAAAGATATGAAGGTCACCTCAACTTTTTTAAATATGGAATTGTGTGATTTTTTTACATAATATGATTCCTCTAATTATTCTGCACATAAAAATGTTAAGGTAATAATATCAAAAAACCAATAGTTTACGAGATATTTTACGCTTTATTCTGGCACATTCTGTGTAGAAAATTGTTAGGGCTTAAAAAAGGGCCTTATAAGTATATCCTAAAATTAATCGAGGCCTATTAGGGTAAATTACTTGGGCCCTACATGGCATGTAACAAATTGTTTACTAGGCCCCTATAAGGAAAAATTATCGGGGCCCTATAAGGAAAAATTATCAAGGCTTTTATAAGGAAAAATTATCAGGGCCTTGTAAGGAAAAATTATCAGAGCCCTATAAGGAAAACCTATCAGGACTCTGTAAGGAAAAATTATCAGGGCCTTATGAAGAAATATTACGGGAATTAATTTTATGTTAATTTGAAATGGTCATCCATCCGAATGCGAACCACCATTCGCGTTGCTTGACCTCTGTAATCGTACGGAAACTGCTACTTCGATAATCCACGAACACTGAATGTTAATGAACGTATATATAATTGCGATATATCTGTCAATATAATCCTGATAGAAATTTGTACAATTTAACTGAACATCCAGTCAGTATTTTTTTGTACGTGCCCATACGCACTTTTAGGGGGTGAAACACCCTTTAGAAAAAAAAATGGTTTTTCTCTTTTAGACAATTTTTTTCTATCTCTTACAGTTCCCCGACGATATTCGCTTCGAAAGAGAAAAATTAATTTTTTTCCAAGGAGTGTTTTATCCTTTAAAAGTGCGTATAGGCACATATAAAAAAATACGTGTTATTTTTGTCTGGAGAATAACATACTAATATGGCATCCCTAATAAATCCTTTCCAGGCACCTATAAGTTAGCCCTAATAAATAAATATTTATAAAGTTGATACGTCTTTATCAAATCCCGATAAGGGCCTCATCAGATATAAATAAGGAAACCTTACTTATGGCATCCCTGATAAATCCTTTCCAGGCCCTTATAAGTGAACCTTAAAATAAATAAGTATTTATAAAATTGATACATCCCTATCAAATCCCGATAAGGGTCTCATCAGAAATATGTTACATAATGCCATCCTTAACAAATTTCTACACGGGATATTAACATAAAATGTTAAATAACTCGTTAACTATTAATAAAACTTTTTGTTAATCGTGCCTTAATACTTTTATGAATAGAACACATAGTTGGTTATTTAAAAAATTATCTATTTTGCATACATATTTTTAAAACAACGATATGTTTTCTTTACACTAACTGATCCATCTCATTATTCTGTTCATGTTGTTCATTATGTAAAAAAAATCATACAATTCCATTTAAAAAAATTGAGGTGACTCATATCTTTTTGGCGCCTCCACCTAGAATAAAACCAACATAACCAAAATACGTCCCCCTCGAAACCCTTCCACTTTCATTTGAAACATTTTTTTATATCATCAAAAATAAGCGAGATATTCAAGATGTTCGATTTAAGTGGATCACCCTGTATACGTATTATTACATATAAATGTACATATAAATAATAATTATTTAAAAAGTTATGTAATTGTTATAATTATATGTATACATAGAAGTTTTAATTATACGTATATAGAATATTATATAATGTAACAATGTATTTGTAATTTGTACTTTTCGAAAAAAAAACAGTGCAAAAATCATTAAAAAAAATATTTTTTTCAATTATTGTTTTTAATTATTACTTTTTCTGTTATATGACAAAGATTCTGACAAAGATTAAACAAGAGAAAGAAAACATACATATATGGACATATTTTATATACATAATTATATATACATTTATATGTTTGTACATAAAAATTTTTTAATGAGCATATTGTAAATCTTTTTTATAGTCTTTGTAATTGAAGTTATTTTATCAAATCGTTCCGGCAAATCCGTTAGTTTATCCTTTCAAAGATATGCATTTATATCTTCACAATGTCGTCGAAAGAGGCGATCTATCATCTTATACCCAGCGTTCGAGTTGACGTACCGATGAGGGGTTTCGGCTCGTTTATATTCTAAGTTTCGTCAAACGTCTTAGTGAGGAACATGAGACCGTGAGAGAAGAAAGTCGGGAAAAGAATGATGAGAAGTAAAGAAAGAGAAAGACAGAGAGTAAAGAAGCAAGTTATCGGTCGAAAGTTCGTAAAATCCAAGAAACCGATTCCACCCTTCGTATAGAGAGTAGAGCTGCATTCGTCCTCCTTCTCTAGGGAGCGTTTTATGGGAGAAAATTCAACGTCCGCGACGATTTCTCAGCTCATTCCGAAACCCCGAACAAATCTATTCGTGAATGGCGAAATAGCGAGCTTATATTATACCAGCCCTCCTCGAGCGGATTTCCTTCGTTTTCTGTCTCGCGAGAATAATATAATCGAGTTTCTGCTAAAAGGTGATCCTCTTTTAAAAAGCTTTCCTGCATAAGCAAACTGCTACCTCAATTCTTCGAGATTGGATCTTTCAATATAAAAATATGAAGGATATTAGGATAAATCAATGAAAATAAATGTTCAACGTTATTAAATGTTGTACGTATGTAATTATTTTGGAATAATAAAAAAAAACTTAGATTTTATGACCGTGAAAATCACTAATACTTACGCACGTCAAGTACTTTTATGAATATTTTTATTTCGTAAATGAATAATCTCTTGAGTAATTGCGTCATAATAAATTTATGCGCAATCGTCCAAACTAGTCTAAATGGAGATATTACGATTGAAAGGGATCCTTGTAATTTCGCGTTTTTATTACTATCAGTAGCTGGCTAACTAAAATTGGAATGAATTTAATTGAATTGCTAAAACAGAAATTAGGTAAATAATAGTATCTGCGAGAGAGATTAAATCAGAAAGATGTGTATGCAAGAAGGAGCCTGAGCCCGCAAATAGTTCGCTAACTAAGATTACGTCTTTGAAATCGCGATGAGCTATGATTTTCTCTGGAAACAGCTTCCCGAGGAATATGCTCTGGAAGTTACAGAGTACATTTTGCAGAATTCCGCGTGCAGTACACAAATCAACGGTGCGAGAGTTCTTTGGTTTTGCAGAAGTTCCTTTGTGCGATATATATGACCGTGCGCCAATTTCATCTCTAACAAGCACATCAGACGAAATAGCTGGAAAATTTGACGTTTGCATGTCGTACCCATGCCATCATTTACATTTCTATATATTCCCGAGAAATACTTTACTCGCATCCTTTGAAGTTT